AGAGCAGGGCGAGGTGTTGTTACAATGTTCTCAGTCTTTTGAGGTACACTTTCTAATAAGATTGACTTGTGAAAGAAAGCATTGCAAAAGCAATGGGAAAAAATATGTCCAGTGAGTATATGGGCAAGTAGTCTCAGGGACTATATTGGCCATTTTGGCTCAGCTGGTACCAGTAGGTCATTTTCTCTTGTGGAAACATCCCATTTCTAGATATTTCAGATTCTAAGAGTTACCTTCATTGAGAAATTATTTTTCCTTTTAGTTGATAATAAGTTAAGCTGCCAGGATCTTGGCTTCTTTTCACTTTTGCACAGCAATCCTATTAATCCAAAGGTTTTTACTTGAGTTTTACAAAACTATTTTGGAAAACTTTATTTACATTCACCAAGCTTACACCTTTGGATATACAATTAACTCTACCAATTTACAATAATAGGTAATTATTCCTTTTTTTTTTTTTTTTCCTCATAGAAGTTGATAAGCTCGGAGTTTTCTGGTTTTCCCATTTATATGAGAACTGTACAACAAATGGAACAAGGCTTTACTGTGGCTGGATCAAATGAAGTGACTATTTCTTCACCTTTTCCATACTGCTTTTCAGAGTAGAGTGATGAAAGGCAGTCTCTCTGCCTGCTTTGTTCACTTTTTTACATGTGGTGCAGATCTGCTCCCCTTCGACCTTGGAATAGACTTCTGGGATTTTTTTTTTCCTTTCTGTGTTTGTTTGTTTGTCATTTGTCAGAAGTTGGATACCAAAAGATTCAGAAAGAAAGGAACAAGAGAGTAGGAACTAAGATGCAAATGTCAGGGCTAAAAGGAAAAGAGAATTCATGATCTTTCTATAAACTGGGAAAATACCTTTTATTTTTAATGGCTAGCATTTGTTGAGTACCCATGTGCTAGTTACTTTATGCACATTATCTTATTTAATCCACACTATTGTGAGAGGAAGAAATAATTCCCTCCTTTTGTTTTACAGACAAGGCCCCAAAAGATTAAACAGTTTTCTTTTAGCCATGTGTCCATTAAATAGCAAAGTTAGGATTTGAATCCAGGTCCAACTTTAAAGCTCTTTGTAGTATATAAGCTGCTCATATTGGCCCGAGAGTTAGAAAACTCTTAGGATTTAGCTCTGGGAGTTTCTGGTGACTTGAATTAGCTTTCTTGGCCCTTGCTTTCTTCTTTATCTGTAAGATGAGAGGATTGGGCTGGATCTTTAAAGTTAATTCTGACTGTAAAATTATTTGATTCCTGGGCTCTTTTTTGAATCCGAGCAGAGAATGTGTAGAGATTCTGCTAGCTCTCTTGTGTGTAGCCAGTTTGGTTTGTAATGATGATTTTTTTTTCACCTGATCATCCTGTGGAGGTGCAGAAAAGTCATCATGAGAGAATGGGTTAAAAGAAGGCACATTGTGTCAACTGAAGATTCACAAAAGAAAACTTAAAAGTACTTGAGCATGGAAAGCCTGGGCTGGAGATTTGTGTGGGTGGGACCTGGTTATTGTCTGTGGACACCAATTTCATTTACCCTTAAGTGTTATTGTGCTTGAGTGAGTGAGTTTGTGTGTCTGTCTCCAGACATTGGGGATTGTGCTAGGTGGTATAATGATGACTTAGTTCTTTTAGGGCCTTGTAACATTTCCAATTAAATGGTAGAGATGGTTATAGGAGGGACACGATGATTATTGACATAAGAGAGCTAATGAGATGACATGACATAAAGAAGCATCATTGTTACATTATTATAGTATTTTTATTCCATTTTTATGGTACCTTTTTCTCTAAAGGTGCTGTACAAATAACATTGAGGTAATAAGCCATTTTAAAATGCCAAAACACTGAAGAATGAGGAAGTAGCTAGGAGAAATAAATATACAGAAAAGAAGCAATAGAGGCTTTAGATCACTAATCAGCACAAAGATTAGTGATTCTTTGGCTAAATCCCTTGCACTCAACATGGGTTCTGTGAATCATTAGGGACTTGACATGGAGGTCTTTTTTTTGAGCCAAACTAGTGCTCATCATTTTACATCCTGTGGTTGTGATTAAAGACCATGGATGGGTTTTAGTGTCAGATGGACCTGTATATAATTCCTGGTCTTGCTACTTAGTAACTTTAACTTGGAACAAATAACCTAAACTTTCTCAGCCTCAGTTTCTTTATCAGTGAAGTGGTATATGACTATATAATTATACTTCCCTTGTTAGGGTTGTCATGAGAATTGATGTACATGAGTTATACGCATAAAACATTTAGTTCATTGCCTGGCACATGGTATGCACAACATAAGTAATAGCTCAGTACATGTTAAAACCATGATTCTGATGAGGTGATAAGAGTGTAATAGTAGTTTCTCTGTGGTTTAAAAGGTAAAGCAATGTAGAGTTGTCGGGATCTTCTTTTCCTTCTCTGAATTGATAAAGTATAATATGTAGTTTATAGACTAGCATTAGATTTTTAAATGAAAAATACAGAGACTGTACCTAATAGTCTTAAGTTACATACCCAACACCAACTTGGAGAAATGAAAAATTACAGATAGAATTGAAGATCTCTGTTCTTCTTTGCCCTCCCTTTCCCCCCACCCCAGACATAACCATTATTCTGAATTTGGTGTATCATCCCCACACATGTCATTATATTATAATTATGTATCAATAAACAATATATGGTATTTTTACATATTATAAATTTTTATATAAATATTATATATATCCCTCCATAGCTTTTCTCACTCAACATTGTTTTTGTTGTATTTGTAGTATTATCCATTAATTTTAACTGCCTTCTAGCATTCCCTTATGCATCAATTTTATTTTAATCTGTTCTGTCAGTGTACACTATTCCTATTATTTTTGCATACCTCTCACCTTCACATCCCCCTCCCTCAACCTAAGAAGTAACCACTAACCTGAATTGTATTAAGTATTTTTTAATGGTTTAAACACATATTTCTAGGGGCGCCGGGGTGGCTCAGGTGGTTGAGCTTCTGACTTCAGCTCAGGTCATGATCTCATAGTACGTGGGTTTGAGCCCCACATCATGTTCTATGCTGGCAGCTAAGAGCCTGGAGCCTGCTTCATATTCTGTGTCTCTCTCTCTCTGTCTCTCTCTCTGCCTCTCCCCCGCTTGAGCTCTCTCACTCTCTGAAAAATAAACATTAAAAAAATTTTTGAACATACAAATTCTAAATAATATATTGAGTTTTGACTCTTTTTAAGGTTTACATAAGCACAATCTTACTGTGTTATTTAGTGACTTGGTTTTTTCTTTTCAGTGCTATGATTTTGAGATTCATTCCTGCTGATGTGTGTAGCAGTCATTTTCACAATATACATTATTCCTTTATATGAATTTAGTATGGTTTATGGACCTTCAGGTTGTTTCTGACATTTTAGTATTGCAAACAATATATAATTAACATTCTTACACATGTGTGTTGACATTGTACATGTGTGTTAGACATAGATCTAGGTGTGAAATGACTGAGGTATAATGTTATATACATGTTTATCTTTACTGGATGTTGATGAGTAGTAATTTCTTTATCATTTATTTATAAGTATTTTCTAATTTCTGATTTGACCAATGAGTTTACTTTAAATTTTTAATAAAATATTAAAAAATTTTCAAATACAGAATTTTTTATCAGAATCTAATTTACTTGCTCAGTGATCAGCTAATAATGCTTTTATCTTACTAATTCTTTGGCATCTGTTAAGACTTCTGCTTTATAGGTTAATGTGCGATCAGCATTTAGCCAGGTATAGCCGCTTTTATAAATATTCCTCATATGTTTGAAAATAATTTGTTATCTTATTGTTGAGTATATGAGTCTATGCTTATTAATCCTCTTTAATTTTACTAATTATTTTGGCTTAGACAGATATATTAAAATCTTCCCATTATGATAGTAAATTTGTCAGGTTCCCATAAATAGAATCATTTTTGCTTTATATATTTTGAGGCTTTGTTATTAGGAACATACAGGTTTAGAATTGTTTTATCTTCCTGGTAAATTCTTTGCTTTTAAACTTTTTTTTTTTTTTTTACTATTCTATAATCCTCTTTTTTTCTCTAGTTTTTGTTTTGTTTTTTTGCCTTAGTCTACATTTTCTGTTAGTACTGTGGCTATAACTGGCTTTTTAATCATGTATCTTTGCTGGTATTATTATAATGTACTTTAAAATTTTCTTTATACTCATGTTCATGATTCTAGTGTGTCTCATAAACTACATAAAACAGGATTTTGTTTATTCAATCTGAATATTTTCTTAGTTTAGTCAGTTTACAGTTATTACCATTACTAATATATTTGTACTTATCTCTACAATCTTATTATGTGTTTTCTGTTTACCCTGTTTTTTTCTATGCTCATTTTTTCCTTTTTACCTGTCCTGTCTTGATTTGAATAACTTTTTTTAAATCTCTTTATCTATGTATCTATCTATATACCTGTCTATCTATTTATTATTTTAGAGAGCAAGCTTGAGCTGAGGAGAGGGGCAGAGGGTGAGAGGGAGAGGATTTTAAGCAGGCCCTAGGCTCAGCACAGAGCTGACACGGGGCTCAATCCCACAACACTGGGATCGTGACCTGAGTTGAAATCAAGAGTTGGACGTTCAACCTACTGAGCCACCCAGCTGCCCCTGAGTAACTTTTCTTTATTTATTTTTCCCTTCTACTGATTACTCCTAAAATTTTAATTTGTATTTGGCTTTGTAAACTCTTACATTAAAATTGGTATGTCTACCATTTTTCTGAACAATACACGGACCTTGGAAAGCTTTAACTCCAGTTATCCTCTGTCAGTGAAGGGCTTATATGGTATATGTTTTTGATCCGTTTTTTTACTTCCGTTTTTTTTTTTTATCACCAAGTGTATTATTGCTGCTGTGTCATTTAATTTTTATTTTTGTGCTAACTTTTATTGTCTTCTAATTCCCAAGGAGATTGTGAACTCCTTAATTAAGCTGGTTTTATCACTCTTTTTCTTCAGATTTTCAAAAGAAACAACCAGACGATGATTCTGCTCCAAGTACCAGTAACAGCCAATCAGATTTGTTTTCTGAAGAGACCACCAGTGACAACAACAATACCTCGATAACCACGCCAACTCTTAGTCCCAGCCAGCAGCCGCTTCCGACAGAACTGAATGTAACTTCACCAAGTAAAGAGGAGTGTAAGTGCCCAGATCCTGTGAAGTGGTAGAGAAAGCAGCCCAAGAATCATATCATGAGCTTCTTGGTAATGCCTTGTCTAGAAAACAAGATAGCAGCTTTTCTAATTCAAGATAAAGTTTTGACATGTAGGCCCAACTCAACAAGTTAAGAGAATATGTCTTAGCTGTTCTGTAGAGCTTAAGGTCTTTTTTAAAAGATAGTCTTCTATGTTAACTGTCAAGTACGAAGTTTCGAACCAGTCTAGGGTAGTGGTTCTCAATCCTGGCTGCAAAACAGAACCAACTAGAGATTTAAAAAAAAAAAAAAAGACAAAAACAATTTTAGTCTTCAGCCCCATTTCCTGAGTCTAATTTTATTGACCTAGAGGGAGGCCCAGGGATCTGTTTTTTTTTTGTGGGTGTGTGTTTTGTTTTTTTTTTTGTTTGTTTTGTTTTGTTTTTAACTTTGCAGAGGATCCTAATGTGTGCTAATTGATAAGAACCACTGGTCTAGAGAACTTCTAATTTAGGAACCTTGGATCGAAAACTTACCTATGTCACTAACTGGGCCTTGAATGTTTCTAGGCAATTAACTGAGATAGTAACTTCATAGAACATAGGATATTTGAAGAGAGTAGGAAGTGGTTTCTGTTCTTCTATAAGTCCTCAATGATAGAATACTATTGTTATATATGTGATATGGAAGTCCATTGTCCACTTAAATTTTTAAATGCTTTAACCATCTTCTTTAGGACACAACCTATAACCATATGTGTTGAAAATTTTAGGCACATTTTGACATAGCAGTTTTTGCCTTTTAAAAGCTGTAATAACAGGTTGAAGTTTGCTGTTTCAGAGTTAATGAGCATATAGAAATCCTTGGAATATGGTAGGTTAGAGTGTTCTGTCTAACTTTGGAAAGATAAGCAGAAAACAAATGATCATAAGCCAGTGTACTAGGTAAAATTGAGAATATAATAGTAAGGAAGACCATTGTCTGTGTCTTCAGAGAATTTACTTATTAGAGGAAATTAAATATATTTGTTATAATATATCAGTGGTTCTCAACCAGGAGTAATTTTGCCACCCACCCCCCGCCACCACTGCAGCTGAACATCCTACACTGCACAGGACAGCTCTCCACAGCAAGGAGTTATCCAGCCTGACATGTCAGTAATGCCAGTGTTGATAAACCCTGATACTTGGTTTTATGTGCCCATTTTAATGATTCTTCTTATGTATTAAAGACCGTGACTCTTGAAGAAGGGTGTTGGTTTACTGGAGAAAGTGGTCTTGAAATAGACACAGATGGTGAAAAGACATTCTAGACAGAGTAGAATGAGCTGTTCAGAAAAGCTACATAGGGTTTTATACTGGCAAGTGACCCCTAGGACAAGGTTGGAAAGGTAGATGATGGTCAAGTCATAAATGCCCAGCTAAGCTATTTGGATGTTAGATGATAGTCATGTTTTTGAGCAAAGAAAGTAATATTATTACAGTTCTTTTGGAGAAGTAACCCTGAAAATGGGAAGGGTTATACTAGAATAGTATTGCAGAGAAAGAATTTTTTAAATATTGTAACTTATTGAATAGAGGCCCAGGGGAAGGTGTAGAAATCATTTAAGAGGAGGGAAGAAGAAAACATTAAAATAGTAGTAGTAATGTTAAGGCGTTGGGTTTTATTTTGTTATTAAAAATCTATTTGTGTCATGTACTTATTGAGAAACACTGATAAAAGGTATGACCCCTTATCTCAGAAAAATACATACTATCCAATTTTGAATAAAAATTTTTTAAGCTCATTGTAGCCTTTAGGTGAAGAATTCCTTGTCTAAGGGAAAGATTGGAGCTGGCCAGGATCTTACCTGATTGGATTCATACATACCAGGATTAGACCACAAAAAACAGCTTGAGCAGCCAAGTTGTGTGCAAGAGGAAGATAATAATAGCTATCATTTATTGAGCACTTTATGTGCAAGATAGTGTTCTGTATGTTTTGCAAATTTTCCCTCTTATTCTTCATGATAATCCAGTACAGTAGATACTATCATTATCCCTATCCTGCAGATAAGGAAATAGGTACAAAGAGGTCAGGTAATTTGCCTGTGGTCACAAACAACTAGATACTAGAACCAGGATTCAAATTTAGACATTTGGCTTCAGAATCCATGCTTTTGATTAGTTACTTCACAATGGGAAACATAATTACCACAGAGAATAGAAATTTTCGTGTTGGCAAGATCAGCACTTTGTCTCTCTATAATTAAGGTATGTGGAAACTCAAATTATAACCAAAAGTTACTTTGTTAATTCATCATGAAAAATCCTGTAACAGAGATTGGAAATAAAAATTTATACATATGACTAAAACATTTTCTCTGGAGGCAGACCTTTCTGGAAAGCCAACCAAACAAGGATTTAATATAGCAAATGGCAAAGTATGGCCTCAATAAGTGGAATTAAAATGAAGTGAATTTTTAATTGAGTCCAGCAGATTGTGAGGTACACTCTATATACAGGGAAGGTGTTGCATTCAATGCAAGATTACATCTTCATACCCTTTTCTCCTTTCTCTGCCTGGGCTTACACCCACCCTGAGCTCTGGAACCCCTAGGACACAACACTTCCTGTGTTTCCATAACTTGCAATTCTGGTCCATTGTACACTGCCATGTTTTTTCTTTTGATAAATAAATACCTTCCATCTGAGTAAAGATGTCTAGTTCTACCAGCTTCAGATCCATTCTCTCTGATGACATTACTGTTTTGGACCATTTTGTGTTTGAGTTAAACTCTCTGAAACAAATCTCATTTCCTAACTCTTATGAGGCTCATTGTTGTAGTTCTCAGGTTTTTACAGATATGAGGAATTGAGGTTTGCTAATCTGAGATATGATGATGACTTTCATGTTCAAGTGGGCAGTTTGAGTTGGAGCTCAGGAGAAGGGGGAGTCGGAGTGAGCTTCAAACACTTGGGAGATGATAGTTGAAGCCTTAATGGTTAAATGAGATTGGCAAAGATGAGAGCAATTAAAAGCAGTGAGAATAGAACCTTGAGAGTGAAATCAAGACAGAGTAGGAAACTGAAGAAGTCAGAGAAGAGGAGAATGATAATTGGTAAGGTCACAGAAGCCAAGGAACAAATTTCAACTTATGATGTGGTCTTTCATAATAATAGTGAAAATATGGCTTAGTCAGTTAAGCGTCAGACTCTTGATTTGGGCTCAGGTCATGGTCTACAGTTCGTGGAATTGAGCCCCACATGGGGCTCATGGTCTACAGTTCGTGGAATTGAGCCCCACATGTAGCCTACTTGAGATGGTTTCTCTCTCTCCCTCTCTCTGCCCCGCCCCTCTGTTTGCACATGTGCACTCTCTCAAAATAAATAAACTTAAAAAATAATGAAAATGTAAGGTCACATTTATGAAGTGTCTGCTATATTCTAAGCACTCTTCTAAGCTCTTTATATGTAGTAATATTTAATTTTCACAGGATCTTATGAGGTAGGTGCTTTTATTATTGTATTTACAGACGAGGAAGGTAAAGAATAGAGAGGTTCAGTAACTTCAGTCCAAAGTTACAGAGCTTCTGCTTCTCAATACAGTTTATGTTCCAGCCCACTAATTTGGCTCCAAAGCAAGTGTTTGCAAGCACCCACAATAGCTTATTGCCTCATCATTGTTAAAATGCTGTAGAGAGTATCAGCTGACCAGAGACACTTGGATTTGATGGTCTTGAGACTGATTACCTAAGTATAAGCTATTTAATAATCTTTTTCAGTGGCTTGTATATTCATTTAGCAATCTTTGCTGAGAGCCTACTATATGTGAGGTACTAGGTTAAGTACTGGCTACAGAAATGAGTAAGGTTAGGTCTCTATCCCCCAAGGAGGTCACCTTTTCAAATATATATGCTTCTCCCTGAGATTCTGGCTTATTCTCCCAAATGGGTTCAGAAGAATTTGGGGTGTAAGGGAGGCAGCAGCATGAACAGTGGTCAGTAAGCAGGTTATTTGTAAAAGCTTTCTCAGGTGGGTGTTGCTACCTCAACGAGATTGAAAACTATGTGTGCCTGGTTTGTGGATGGGGGATATAGGGATGAAGAAACTAAGGAAGTTTGTTAAAGTATTAGGGTAGATGCATTGTAAGTCAGCATGAGATAATTATGGTGGTTGCCAAGTAGCAGTGAAGACCCAGGTGAGAGTAGACAGCCTGATCGATAGGCACCTTAGAGATTTCTGCAGCTATGGTGTACTGTAGAAGCAGAGTGGAGGAAGCAGAGGAAGGGGATTACTTCTGTTGATCTTTTAGCAACCTCAAGGGACCAGAATTTCATCTGTTGGCCCTTCGTAGCTTCTCTTATATAGAGGTAAAGAGATGTGGGGTGTGGGAGTTGCTGGGAAATGGGTTTGTGTTGCAGATCCGAGTACTGCATACTTTAACTATACAGTAATTGTGGGTCTACTGTTCCTATGTAGAACTGGAAGTGTAGTGTATTCTTCAGGACTTGTGGAAAGTTTTTATTTGTCTGTAATAATCAAGAGAATGGGTATTATTTATATCTGCTTTTTTACTTCCCACTGTGAAATGAATATAGGACAAGAAATGAAATATATGTGGTGAGAGTCTGGGTGCATTAGTGCTATTCTAAAAAGACTGCAGATAGGGTAAGAACTACTGACAAGCATGTAAAGCAAAGAAGCAGGGCAGATTTTTATCCAGAAGAATTTCTTTTTTTTTTCAACGTTTATTTATTTTTGGGACAGAGAGAGACAGAGCATGAACGGGGGAGGGGCAGAGAGAGAGGGAGAGACAGAATCGGAAACAGGCTCCAGGCTCTGAGCCATCAGCCCAGAGCCTGACGCGGGGCTCGAACTCACGGACCGCGAGATCGTGACCTGGCTGAAGTCGGAAGCTTAACCGACTGCGCCACCCAGGCGCCCCCCAGAAGAATTTCTTAAAACCTGACTGAATGTCAAATAACACAGATATCCAAAAGCTCCAGACAAAGTTTGTGTTTTTT